TCAAAATCTGCCACACAGCACCACCGGCCTCCGAGTGCTTCCCCACATCACATCTCCATCATGTTCCCTGCGCTGAAGCCAGGGGCCCCCTGAGTTCACTGGAAACTGAACTGACCACAGAGAGTTACTCATTATGGCAGCTGGTGGACTGGAACAGAGTGGTGCCCTCTTGGTCTCTGTGGAATGCTGCCACTGCATCAAAGAAGGCTCAAGAAGTGCGTGCGTGCGTGCGTGCGTGCGTGCGTGTGTGTTTCCGCTCAGAATCGGAGCTCACCTTTTAATGGGAGGGAGCAATACTCCAGAATTCGTGCAGCAGAGAACAGCAGTAGAGGTTTAGATGGAAAGCCCTGCTCAATTTCTCTCAAGGCCTGTTCACTGCCAAGGATGAAAACAAAACAAAGGGCTCCACTCCTTCGCTCTGCCTTTTGGACAAGCTATCATCCCTTTCCGAAGAGAAAAAGATAGAGGCAGCCAAGTAGATCAGAAGACAGCAGCTCACATTAAAACAACATTCACATGATCAAAAGCAGGAAAGGTAAGTAGAAACAGAGAAGGGGGGAAAAAGTAAGATTTTAGAAAAACGAGTTCTGGCATCTAAGCCCATGGAACATGAGGAAGAGATCTGAACTGGGAGAATGTGGTTTTAGCTCTCAATTTCTCCCCAACGAGATCAGTAAATATGGGCAACTCGGGCACCTCTGAGTCCTCATTTCCTCATCAGAAAGAGATGCGTGTTCTCTGCCTTTGCCTGAAGGAACAGCGTCACTGTAGTGGAAGAAGAATGTGCATCGAGTGAGAAGACCTGTGTTCTAATCCCACCGAATTAGCCATGTACCTGCAAGGCAAGGTAGCTCACTCTCTGGGACTCCACCACCCACTGTCATGCTGTAAAATAAGACAGACTGGCTGAAAAGTCTCTAAGTGTCCCTCCTCGGGCCGTCCATCAGAAATACACAAATATCCTGCATACCAGCTATTTTTCCAGACTGTGGATGCTGTGCAAACGCCATACAGCAACATTCTGCATACTCTTAAGTCCAACCACAGATTTGTTTTTCAAGCTAAAACTATCCATGTCCAAGCATTCCAAAATATCCCTTCTGGCTTGTTGTTTAGCCCTAGCAATCAGACAGACAACACTCCTAAATTGCCTTTCTATCTCATTCAAGTTGATCCTCAGGTGGGAGAAAATCTCTCTCTGATTTTTCTACACATAAACAGACTTTTCCCTCAGCTCAGGCAGAACCTGTCTCTAAATCCCACTGTGAGGAGTACTCCCCTGGGAAAGCAGCTGTCCACACCCCAGATGAAAGCACCAGAGCTCCCAGCAACAAGCCGCATCACCAGGCAAGCGAGCCAGCTGTCAGGGCTGTACACCCAGGTTCTGGGGGCAGAAACGCCATTCACCCTGGCAATAATGATTTACTCACGCGACGTCAGGGCCCACAGGCAGCCGGCCTTCCGCTGGCTCTCACACACCCAGAGTCCAAGTGCAAGGAGGTGATCCCAAGGCCAGAGGGGAACAGCACTGAGACATTCTCTTCTTAGCTTTCGGAACAAGGGGCAAAGGAGTGGAGTGGAGGGATGGGGGCGGAGGGGGGAGGGGCGCGACTTTGTTTCTGGAAACAAGAATTCAAATCCTGCTTCTCCTAAACCCTGAGTCACCTCCTTCTCTTCCAATAGATCAGTGTGGTGGGTAAACATTTCCATATATGGGGAAGAAGGCTGGAGATGTCAGAAAAATCACCCTTCTGTCCTCTGGCACTTGAAGAACATGCCCCACTTAAGACGGAATTCCTTACTCGGAGTAAATGATTAACCCCCAAAAGAAGTGGAGTCTAAACTCTTGCGTATGTTCCCCCCACCCAAACAAGGAAGGGACTGAAAGTTCACCTAAGAAACGGGGTCATCTGAAGTGTACCTACATGAATGAAGTCAACCTATTAATTCAAGGGGGATTCACCTGAAGGTCACCAAGAGTACAGTCTGCAGTTCTTTCAATGACAGATGAGTCCGAAAACAACCCCCACTCTTGGACTCCAAGCCCTGGCTTTGTCGGGCAGAGGATCCTCATGGGAACTTAGTTTTACATGAGGTCTTCACAGGACAGACACCAGGCAGAAAGACCCAGCGTAGAAGCAGTTCAGGAGAACCCTGGGAGGGGGTGTGTGGAAAAGGAGGGTAGAATGCCCAATTTAATTTGTAAGATTAATTACAATCTGAAGTTCCTGAGTAGTGCTCAATGACTAAACTGGACCGGTGAAGTCAGTTAGGAATGAATGTGGTCTAAAATAACTCCAGACTAACTCGTGGGGGCGGGGGGGGGGGCAGTACGGGTGAAGAGGGGTCTGCTCAGAGAAGGGAAGCCATGTCTTGGCTTCCTAGTGGTTCTATTTCTTAGCATGATCTTGTTCTACTATTGGCTGCAAAGGCTTCTGCAGGTCAGATGAGCCGTTTTTTTCAGACTTATCGCCCACTTCCTGGCTTTTGGGCCTGCACCATGAGGCTGCTTGTTCTCATCCCTGGAGAATCTTCTAGCAATAAAGAGTAGTGGTCAGGGATCAAGGGCACCCAAGCCCTAAGCCCAGGTCAGTCACTCCTTAGAATCTGGGACAAATCAGTTCTCCTCTTGTAGCTTATGTTGTCTCATCTACAAATTGGGTAGCTATCCCCCAACTGTCCAACTGCGTGCTCTAAAAGCAGCCTCAACTTTGTCTAGACAAACAGTCGTGACACATTTATGTTGATTACTTGTGTCTGTAGGTATGAGAAAAACTGCAAGTATTTCTTATTTATTTCATGATTAATAAATTAACGCAGATATAAGTGACTATTAAATAAGAGAAGGAAACAGGATGAGAGAACCTTCCACCACAGGCCAGGACCAGAGCTCGGTACAGAGGCCGGCCTGAGAGGGGAAAGAGATGGTTCTCCCCCAGGACTCAGAAGACGACACCAGCCGTCCAACCCGGTGCCTCTGCAGAAAGAGGGGCATCCTGTCAGGAGCTCCAGGGCCCTTCCAACATTGCAACAGATGAGGGAGATATGCCATGAAAAATAGCTGCCCCTGGATGGCCTGGGAATTCGCAAAACCAAGAGCCAAGGAGGGAGCAATAGGGATGGGTATGAAAACCAGAATGACAGTGTCTCTATCTACCCTCCATTTCGCAAGTAGCCTTTGGAGATCAGTTCCCACATCCACAAAGGGGCCCTTCATTCCTTAATGCGTGTGTGCCTCTCTTCCTCTTGACCACTGAGAACCACTGGACCTGGGATCTCCCCAGGAGCAAAGTCCAGAACGGCCACTGAGCCAATGTCCCCCACCCCATTAATGAATCCCTCCATTATCCCAGAGGTCTCCAGTGGGGTGGAGAGCACCTTCCGCAGCTGCGAATTCTGTCTTTCCAATAGAAAGTTCTTCCTTATATGGAAACACACTCTGGCTCCTTGTGAAGCTCTCAAGACCTCATTCCTCAGCAACTCTGGCTGTTTCCTGACCCTATCGCATTGCTAGCTCCTAAAGCATTGGGTTGCCAACTTAAAGTCCACCCTTGCTGGGTTTTCTAATAAGTATTACTGCTGTGCAACCTGTTCTGCGTACATACAGCAGGCCTATGGATTCACGAGATGTGCCCTATTAAATGCCAGACACTGAGAAAAGGAGAAGTCAGGCCTTCCAGACCAGGTCCTCATCTACCACTTCTTCTTCACCACGCCACATGCCCATTCTTCGTGGACAAAGCTCAGGATCCCGTTCCCAGCTCCCCGCTCCGGCTCTCTGGTCCTGCCAGACCAAAAACTGTCTCCAAGAAACAAGACTGTTCCGAGGAAGCGTAGAAAAAGGAAGGCCTTCCCAAGTCCAGTGTTCTCAGCGGCCTGCAGGCAAGACAGCGGGGCCCATCTGCTGGTCACCGGACTGGGAACTCGTGATCCCTAGCAACTCCAGCACCACTCCAGATCTTGGTGTCTTTACAAAAAGGGGGGAAACATGTTCCCTTCTGCCACGGTTCTTATGTCACTATTTGGATTTAAGGTACAAGTAGCAACAATGCCTCACATTGGAAGCACGCTTTACCGGTTAGTAAATGCTCTCCCAGATGGTCTCCTTTATCCCCCTGGCAGTTGCCCCTGGAGGGAGTCTTCTGCTAATTAAGTTACAGGGGAGCGGTGGCTCAGAGAGGTGAAGTGTATTCTCAGGGTCGGAGCACGAGTAAGTAGCATAAAGAACACTGGTTGAGGAGGTAGGCTGCTCGAGGAGGTAGGCTGCTAGCGGTATGATCACTAAACTGTCTAACTTCGGCAAACCTTGGTTTCTACACCTGAAAATTAGAGATTAAAACAGACCCTCTGTCTACCTCTCGGAGCAGGTGTGAGGATTTCTCTCTGGAAAGCTGGGAAGGTAGTACAGAGCGTAAGGGGTCATTGTGTGATTACTTGTACATGACTATGCATTCCATCGCAAATTCAGAAGGCAGTGAGGTCATTCTCAAGACAAGAAACACTAAGGCTCTGGGAATTAAAGGGTAATAATCTGATGTTCTACAGAGTTGTGTCTATATACTACCGACTCTCACAGCTGAAGGTCAGCAGTGGCTGTCAGATTGCCTACTGCCAAGTCACACATGCCTACAGGAACACTCAAGACAGACTCTCCCTTTCAGCTACATGCAAATACCAGGCCCAATGGAGGTAATGGAGATGGATGTTTGGAAGACCCCTGAGATTCTTAGTTCCGGAAACGTGACCTGCAATGTTTTCCTCGGAGAGTTTGTTAGAAACACAGGCTCCAGTCTCTCTGCAATAGCCTGTGGGGGAAATAAGCGTACAGTAAGGAGCTAGTTAGCAGAGAGCACTGAGGAAGCTCCTAAACATGAACTATCAAGGGCACAGAAGATTTAAAGTTGCAGATACCAAAAAGACAGAAGTTCCAACCCATTTAAAACCTCCCAGCCACTCCTTAAGAAAAAAACTTAAGGCAGCAAAGAGGCACATTTACATACCAGAGGTCCTGCTGCAGGTCACCTGGGAGCCAGAGGGCACCCAAGAAGCTCTGAGAGTAGGGACTGGTCTGGCTTCCTTCAGTCCTCTGCCAACACGCTAGTCATCAGGATGCTCTTCAATTTCTGCAAAAATTCAAGTCATCGATGTCATTATGAGGAGCTGGATTTTCCCCAGAAATCCATTTCCAAGGCAGATAAACACACAGCTCAAGGATGATTGTTTTCTACTTTGCATTTTATCTAAGCTTAACACTGGAGAAAAACACTAACTAAATTAATTAGTGACACAGATGTGTGTGCACTACCGGGAGGGGTGGACAGTGGGGTAGAAACAGACAAACTTGGGAAAGTCAACTGAAGCCAATACCACAAGTGTTGCAGGCCAACATGCTTAGAGTCTATTTCTTTTTCTTTCTTTTTCTTCTTCTTCTTCTTTTTTTTTTTTTTGTTGACACTATTAGAGTCTATTTCTAAAAGTAGAGTGTTTTTTTGAGACGCAAAGCTCTAATTACACCATTGATCACTTTTAAAAATAGTCTCTTCAGCTCCTCACTGCCAAATACTAATAATAACAATAACTATAATTTAACGAGTGTTTGCTCTGTGCTGGGTGTTGTACTTAGCAGGTTGCATATATCATGCCATTTAATCCCATCAACAACCCAGGGAGCTGGCTGGCCAGTTCCATTCCCACATTACAGAAAGAGAAGATGTAAAGAAAATGTAGACTGCCAATCCCAGAGAGAGTAGTGGAAAGGGATTAACTAGCTCCCAGGACAAGCAACCCCTTACAATTCATTCCCATGCCCTTCTTTTTAATATTTTTTCTTCATTGATTTTAGAGAGAGAGGAAGGGAGAGGGAGAGAGAGATAGAAACATCAATGAGAGAGAACACTGATTGGCAGCCTCCTGCATGCCCCCCACTGGGGATCGGGCCCACAACCTGGGCATGTGCCCTGACCAGGAAGTGAACCGGCGACCTCTTGGTGCATGGGTCAATGCTCAACCACTGAGCCACACCAGCCAGGCCATTCCCATTTCTAACCTCTCCCATTGCCCAGCCTCTCCCCATTCCATTTCTTTGAGATGAAATCATCCTCACGTAACTATCACACATGATGATCACATATAACAGACAGACTGTTCAAAAATACTTGACCAGCTCCTTGTTTGTTTCTGTCTCCCCCCAGTTCTTTTACACCAGGAACCTCACCTGTGTTCTCGACACTGTGCACACAGGGAGTGCTCAACAATCCCAGGTATACAGTAGACACGGTGTTTGAAGGTTGGGCCAGGAAACTAATCTCACCGGGTTCCCAAGGTCCAAAGGGGAGACAGCCAAGTTGAAAGATACAAGTGGAACAGTGTGTACATGGGGCAACCTGAAGTTTCTGAAGGAAGCTTCTCAGAGGTTGCCTGACCTTAGGTGCTCCAGAAGCCTCAGAGAGGGGTGGCCAGAAAGCACACCTCCTTGTAAAGGGGGAAAGTTCCAAGACCCCTCGCAACTGTGACTTTTGCCAAGCCACATTGTCTCCCAGATTTAGTAAAAAGACGAGCTAGCAGTAGGTTTCAAACTTTTCTTTCCCTAACAACAGAGCTTTTCCTTTCAATGAAGTGCTTTGTGGATGCTCAGCTTGTAAAATAAATAACTCAGACTGGGCTCCAGAGCTCCCCTCCCTCCTATCCCTCACCGCTTACCATCTCCCTGACCCAACACCGACCCCAGCCCCAGGTCCCTCCTGGAGTCTGCCAGGCTCAGGCAAGCCCAGCTTGAAAACCACCAGCTTCGGAGCTCTTCGTGGTCCCCTCCGGCTCTGATCTCTATAACCTCCAAGCTCTGAGACATGCCTCCTTCGTAAGCAGTTCTGCATTTTTTACCAGTGAGATAGGCCATATGTAGTGTAACAGCGAATAAAGAATTCTCAAACTAGAAAACTTACACTGTAGTCTATTTAAGACCTCCGTTCTCACAAGCTAGCTATTTAAATCTCACTCAGGCTCAGTTTTTCTCATCTGTAGAATGGGAAATAATATTGCTATCCACTGAATTAGGTTTTTGTGAGAATTAACTAATTTAATATGTACATACATAAGCTGCTTAGCAGAATGCTACAATAAATACTGTGTTGTGATCACCTCATCTATAAGCCCACTGATGGAAAAATACATAGACTGTGCCTGGGGCAAAGAAGATGCTCAGTAAGTGACAGGGGCCCTTCTCTTTCCTTCCTGGCTCTCTTGGACATTTTCAACCTGAACACACCGTGACAGTTCTAAAGAGCCAGAAAGAAGAACACATTTGTGTCCCAAATTCCCTACAGTTCATCTTTTTAAAATCTTACAGTTTGTCTCTAGGACCTTAAAATTCGTGGCCATCTTGAGCATCCAGGAATGTCAACCAACACAGTCAAGGGTGAAGAGGTGGAGAAAGAAAGAAAACGCTGACCCAGACACTTGGCACAGGAGAGGGTGCTGGATGTGGCAACCCCAACTCCCGGCTTCCACACCCACCGGCTGAGCAGCCGAGAAACCCCGTCTGCTCTGAGTCCCCATCTCCTTATTTGTGAAATGGGGGTAAAAGCCCCATCTTCCACCTTCCCATGATGCTGAGCAGAACCAAGGGCTCGATGAGACTGAAACTCTTGATAACGTCACTGCTCTGTCTCTATATAAAATGTTATCATTTGTATCATAACCGCAAATAAAAAGTTAAACCACTGCAAAAAAATAACTTAGAATGTGCCCAAAACTTGGGAGTCACCCTGTCCTGAGACCCCCTGCTACACCCACAAGATTCTGTCTCGCCCAATTCTGCCCTGCACATGCTGGAGGTGGTGTCAGGTGAACCCCATTTCAGCACAGCTTCCCCAGCGGACTCCTCACCAGTGCTCTGAACCACACAGAAATAATGTGCAACTGCCCTCGGGCCAGCTCTCCTGGGGCCCCACCCCATCTTCCTGGCCCTGGCTCCAGGCAAGTGTGTACCCCCAACTTCTCACAACTCCAAGATTCGGCCATGCTTCCGCCCAGGGCTGTGCTTCCAATCGCTGTCTCCTTACTCTGCAGTGGGGAAGTGCCCCCCCAGGCAGGGTTCTGTGACTGGGGGTAGTCAGCAGTGTCTTCGGGGCCCCATCCTTTCTCTAAAGCTGGTCCCAACAACCACTGGTCCGTAAAAAGAAACATCTGGATAAAAAGAAATACTTCTGTGTTTCTTTGTAGTCAACAAAGCTTTCAAGGTCCCCTTTTCTCAGTGCTCAATGCCACATGTGACCGTGACACCCACCCACACCCATCCCACCGATGAGAGACCTGAGGGTGCACAACGCGGAGCGGAGCTGAGCTTGCAGCCAAGTGCAGGCCTTTGCACACGACGCTCTCCCTCAGCGGCAGAGGGCCCTGAAGACCCTGCCACAGGGGGTGCCGGCCTCAGGGCCAGCGCTCTGCATGGCCCTGCGCACGGCACTGTCCTCTGAGACTACCATGAGGGCTCGGGGCCCTACGCCACCCTCCCCTGAAAGATTTCAGAAATGAAACCTTAGAGAGGAACTGCAAGGTAATGCTCACATATGTGTTTGGTCAGCTCCACCCCAAGCTTTCCTCCCCAACCTCCAAAGCCCATCCTGTAAGAAGGAAGAGGGACTGACCCGAATGCCAAAACACCGCCACGCCTCTGCAGGACGGCACAGGGGACGCCGTGTGACAGCTTCACCACGCAGACCAGCCAGCCGCTCCCCAAGAACAACTGCAGTCACGGTCACGGCGCATGAACCTTGTCAGCAAATTGCCAGTTTGATTGGCAATTTTTAATAAGCTCAAGATGCAAGGGCATTAAGGCGGACGACACAGCAGGCAGCTGACATGCCTCGTGGCCTGTGGGCTCCACGAGGGAGAGCGATGAAAGAAACCCTCTTTTCTTCGAGACTCTTAAGACAGTAGCATCTCTCCTTTTAGTGCAGACAACGAGGACTACTGTCTGACCACAGCACTCTTGTCTGGATGCAGACAAAGTCTGCAAAGCAGGCTGCTGCACCCTGCCCTGGTGTTCTCCTGAAGTCCACATGTTGACTGCTAGGTTCTCCCAGGATGACCAGGATCCCAGATCCGACAAGACTCAGGTACCAACTATTCCAACTCCTGTAAACAACTTGTCTGGGGCATTCATTCATTCGGAAAGCATCCCAGTGCCTGCTGAGGCATGGTGAGAAGATGAGGCTGAGTTTTGCTTTCCAGGACCTTGCACCAATATCTTAAACTGGCTTCCCAGTGGCAACAGAGTAAGTCCAAGGGCTTTACCTAATACCTCAAGTTTCTGAATAGCACAGAGTAGATCTCCTGTTCCCACTATAAACTCCTCCACCCCCACCTGCCACTCAGCACACATTCTTTGCTTATTCAGACTGAACTCTTAATTCCCAGGATTCCCTTACTTAACCCCCTGCCCCTCCCCACTCTGAGATCCAATACAGATATATGATGCATCCTTCAAGGCCAATGGCAGTTTTCAACAGAAACAAGCGTGTCTTTGAAGAAAGGAGTTACTTCACAGTCCTCTCACGTTACAGGACACCCTGCATCTCTGGCCCTGAGTGCACTGCATGGCCCTGGTGGTCTGGCCTTCAGCACCGAGACAACAACAACAATAAAAACACACTGCGCCACGTTTGCAGACACTCCTCAAAGAGATGGCACTGCCTTCAGCGGAGACTCACCTGACCACTGCCACATGGCACGAAACCTCCGCTGTCTCTCAGGCCAGTCAAAAATCTCCCTTCTCTGGAATTGCTTAGCCTGCTGTCTAGGACACTGCTCATGACCTTCCTGGTGCTATTCTTACTATAAACTTGACTTATTCCCCCTCCGTGAGTGGAAGAGCCCATGCCTGGCCTCTGCCCAAAGGGCCTAGCCCAGTGCCAGGCTCATAGTAAGTGTTTAATAAATGTCTGTGAACAAATTATATAAACAGAACAAGGTCCAGGGCATGACTCCTGGGGGAGATGAAACTGAACTAAAAAAAAAAACAGTACAAATAAAGTCAACCACTGTTGTCCAAACTAAAAAAATAATAACAATAATTCAGAAACTGAATTTGGACAAATGTCCCGCTTTTTCGGGATACTGAGTA